AAATGTACGTTGATTCTGAAATATTTTGAGAAGACAATATTTCAATTAACTTTACATTATTATCTCTAAAAAGTGACCAATCTTTTTCCAAATTTTCCGTTCTAATTTCTATATACGCCAAAGTGATTCTGCTTTTCAGAGATTTATTAAAATTAACTAAGCCTCTTTCAATTACTGATTTTAGAGCTAATTGAATTTTCAAAAGTCCTTCCATGTTTACAAAACTATAACAACTAAGGGAAAACAAATTAACTTAAATGACACTTGTCCTAATAAAATAAACAAACTGACAATTCATTAGTCTGTGGTCAATTTAAAAGAAATCCTAAGGAAATATATAGAATTAATAATTTCCAAAGCCTAAAATTTTACAAGTGTTTGACACATTTGTACCGAGCGGAAATCGGACATGGATTCCCCGTTCCGTCGTTTTTCCTTAAATTATTCTAAGTCCTAAAGCTACTTACAACTAGAAATGCACTAAGACCATAAATCTTGAAAATCTTCTAAGTTATTTTAACTAAGCTAATAAGGTTCAAATTGTACTTACAGTTTCTAATGCACTCACACAAACCACAATTTACAATGCACTAGTAAACGCTTCCTTCTTTGGCCGCCAGGGGGCGTTCAAATCGTCGTACTTGTTTGCAGGAAACTGCCTCCAGGGGGCGCTTCACTGCACTATTCTCTTTCTCTCTCTAGATGAGTGAGCGGCAGCGTACAGCACTAATCAGCACGCCACCTGCCGTATCTTCTCAAAACTTGGATGATCTACTTCATCTAAATCCGGCTCGAATATAGGACCATTGTTTGGGACCAAGGGTCAGCAAAAGTACTTGGCGAATCGGGATTCGTTGAAATGATAGAACTTCGTACTTGAACTAATGTATACTTAAAAACCATAACAAATCAAACAGAATCTTGAACTGGTACTGAATCCTTGATCTTATATCTATTCATATAGGAAACTACTTATAGAAAAGCACTGCAGCAATCTATACCGCGATTACAAGGACTTAACGTGACATCTATTAACCAAATAAAGAACTAAAGTTGTTATTATGTGAAACTTAGGAACTTAAACCATAGTGCGAGTAACAATTGCTACAGCGCCATCTTGCTTCTTATAAAAGAGCTATATGAACTTGAACAGAAGGTTCTCTTCCAAATCGTCATCAGACTCAACGTTTGACTCTTCCGAATCCGCTGGAGGTATAAGCGATAAGATTTTCTTTGATCGCCAAGCCATGTTCCTGAAAAAAATAATAAAAATGTAAAAAATATGATTTAGGTACGACGACGTTGCAAGTGACAATTTATTGGCAACGTCCGTTTTATGTGACAATCATGAGAGATTCTTTCAAGTAGGACTAAATGGCAATGTCCGTTACGTGGGATAGACAAAGAATACCCTAGTTACTAGTTAAAGTTGGCAAGGTCCGTTTTGTGTGACACTATAAATAAACTAACTTTTTACACAAATTACACTAATACTGACATAAATTATATCATAATACAATACCTGTATTCACATTCTAACTAATAATATAACATGATAAACAAAACAACGTATATACTCACAGTTATTATCAAATTCAACAGGAGCAAAAACGAATCTGACTGTTGCACTTTTTCAAATGATTGCTGTTTGTGATCATGCCTCTCTCTGTTGATGAAACATGCACGCGCGCGTCGAAGATAGCAAGTGCAAGACCGTTTCGCGATGACACCGTGCTTACGAGAGTTAAAACAATATCTGTGTGCGTGTAAACACTATGCCACTTAAAACTGATAAAATCAATTTAAAGGTTAACCCGGATAAATGCCACAAGAGAATTCCAGGCGCCCTTCACAGTATAGTGACGCCACTTCCACGGAATAGGCGTCACCCGGGGGAGTAATTCTGCAACGACCTTACTCGTGGGATCTGTATCCATCCGTCACCTACAACATGCGCCATCTTGGAGGGGCCTGCTGACGGTGCGCCTAATTTGACTTGGTGCTGCACGTTCCGCACCTCGATCTAATCCTATTGATCGGAAAGGATCCTCAATTGCCTCTACCCCTGCCTCTACACCGGCTTTTTCTGGTCCTGTCCTCATTGTTGCCCCCACTATCCTAAGTCTACACGCGAGGATTCTGTTCGCGCTATCAAAAAAATACAAAAAAAAAACCTCCTGCCTCAGTTAATATTAAAGCAGAATTTAAAGGGTCAAAAAAAAGCACCTCACCGTTATTTTTAAAGGCGTTTCTAAGGAGATCATGTGCAAAGACATTGCTTTCACCATCATTTGACAAAACCCTAAGCTGGAAGATTTGTCTCCGGACGATGACCTTAGCTTTAGGTTCATAAAAAATAAGGCCGACATGAAGGCATTTCTTTTAAGAAAGGCCTTCATGTCGGGACCACGGGGTTCGTTGGAGAGTAAGGAGGTGAATAAGTATTTGGCGGGCAAGTTCAGTCGCCACATCCCTGGTACCGTTTTTCGCGGGGAACTTGGATGAGGCTTTCAATAGCCTCGGCGGAGGGTTCTGCCATAAGGGCGAGAGAGGGGAGGAACACGAGCGGTGTATGTTCGCTGCGCAACCACTTTCGGCGTTGTGAAAACAACACCTAGGTGGCTGCGAAGAGAAACAACCGAAACGGACGGCCGTTAAAAAAGGCGGGACGCGAGCGAAAATAATGCGAAATCACTTATGTGGCTCGGTGAGAGCGGCAGACTATACGTGCGCACAGTCTGGTGATCGGACGCAGAATGCGAGAAAATTGTGGTCATGCACCACAATTTAAGCTGATCTGACTTTTGAGTCACGAGTGCCGTATCTTCCCTTTTTGTTATAATCTAATCATTTTTCACTACTTTTGTAAGTACTAATATGTTTTAATTGCTGTGTTATTGTCGTGTATGTTATAAGACGGCCATAAAACAATTTATCTGTAATATGAATAATTCAAGGCTTAAAGTAAATACATAAATCTTATTTTTGTGTAAGTACCTATTGTAAAACTTCTTCTCTATAACATTAACAAATAATTTAAGGTAATACAGTAAAAAGTTCGATAGTCTAACCAGACGCAAAAAGAGTTTATTTAACTTAAAAAAGATTGCTACTGTATGAAAGGGTTAGGGGAAATTAACAAATTAATGAAAATAATATACACATATAAATATATATTTATTCATTTCATATACATTTATTATAACTAATCGACGAAATATTTTACATTCAACTTTTTACAATAGTCAATTTCAGTTGTGCATAAATATATCATTAGGAATGTTGATAAATTATGTAATTATTAGACTATTATCATTTTTTTAAATATTAATTAAATCAACATTGTCTGCATTATTAATTACAGTGACAAGTGGTTTATGGTAACTAAAATAAGACACATGGACGTTCGTAGATACGTGGTTCACGAATCTTGAAAATACCGCATCAATGGTTGTACCATACCTCGTTGTTCCCATTGCTCTATCAGAAACAATATCTAAATTCAATTCAGATTTAAAAAAAAATATTAATGTCAATCCGTCATCTTTGTTTGTCAATGTTGCGCGACATAGGATGCGCACCAAAAACGTAACGAGGTCATTCATCGATATATTTTACTCCTCACATTTTTCTCATACCGGCCCTTTATATATGCAAATCGATTCTTAAGGAGTAAACTTCAATAAACACAGCCACAGATTGGAAAGAATTTGAATATGTCAGTTACTGACTTTATAACAACGCAATGGAACGTTTTAGAAGGTTTGCTATGATTTAATAAGATGACATTGCCATCAATATGAGACGCTTATCCAAAGATTATAGATTAAAGGTATCGATACTTGCCAAAAAGTACTCATTTAGTAAAAGTATCGAATACAAAGTATCGAGTACAAAAGTATCGGTATCGAAAAGAAAAGTACTCGATACCACGAAGTATCGATACTTTTTTCGTGTCCCTAGTTTGAAGGACAAACTTATAGCCATAGTTCAACGACGACTCCATATTTTGTTTAAGTTGGGTCTAAACTACTAGAAACAAAAGTGACAAGTTGCCAGCCAATTACACCAACAGTTTGTAAACTGTCCAATCTATGTTTTGTTTTGCCCCAGTTCAGCATGCCAGCATGGAATTACTCTCATTTACTAGGTTCTTACTAAAATTCGATTGAAATAGGTATGTATTAGGTATTGGTTACCTACTCCTGCTAAGTTGCACGACCCCGAACTAGTGATGTGTCTTAAAGTGATCGATATTTTTATTAATCATTAAAAATAACTGTTTCTACAGAAAGTTAAAATATCTTCCAAATATGTATTTCAAGAAAATTAGAGAAGTCACCTTACATGAGGTACTTCAATGCCCTTCAAGCCTAACGGATATTTTTGTTACACCTTGTATACCTATAGTTTTTTAAGCATATACCTGCTAAATGTTTAAATATAAAGAAAATTTTACTAGAAAATATTCCACGAGATCAGTTTAAATATTTCCCCTTCGAATAATAACGACATTATTATCCGAAGTATTTCCCGTTAAAAACTAGAAATATTATTGTGCTGAAGCCTCACTCAGGATCGAACGGCAATCTTTACTTGGTGCAGTGTCTCTAAAAGGCCGTTGTTCCCGCGATAGTAAAATTTTAAGTACACCGTAAATGTGTAAAGTAAAAAAAAAATACCATAATTTTTTTATGTGCGATTCAATATTTTAATATCGATGAAACAGCGCGACCAGATGTTGACCAAATTAAGGGGCAGAGCTGCTTGGACAAGCTTGCCGCGGCCGGCGCCATTCAATAGCCGTTCTCATAACCACAGCAACAGTATTATCACTGTAAAACAGCACAACTATACTTACATGATCACTGAAAACATTTAATCCCCTTTTTTGCAGTTGTGTAAAGAAACATTAAAATAAAAATACCATTTACAATAACGTAATACTTTATTAAGTAATCTACGAATAACTATCTAAAAATCACAAACACAATATTTTATCCCAAATATCCCAAAAGACAACATTCCTACCATAGACATGTAATATACACAATTCAGTGATATGATGTAGACGAAATCAATATAACGGATGAGTTTATTACACTCATGTGAATATTATTTTACAAAATTAATATTTTATTGTTCAATCCCGTTTATCAATGCCATTAAATTGTCTTGAAACAAAATCTCATGGTGCCTGTCTATAATATGTTCGCGATCAGCTCAAAAACTAGATACTGAATGGATTTTGATGGAGATTTCACAATCAATTAGATATTTTTTCAAGGAAGGTCTATATAAATGACACAATACAAGCAAAGTTAGGACAGCGCACTAGTCTATCATAAAACACTATATTAGCATCATCATCCGAGTAACCTGGTATAGTGAACGTTACAATATCGACAATCTAAACATCATCAAACAGTGATGGCAGATAATTTGAACTAATTCACCACCACACCGCCAATATGCTTCATTATAAGACTCAAACATGCTTCCTATTTCAGAGAATTAAGTACAGTAAATCATTTTTATATAATACTAGCTGACCCAGCGAACTTCGTACCGCCCTAAAAAAATAGGGGTTGTCCAGCGGACAAAATTGTGAATCTAAACCATTCTCAGATCCCCTTGAACACACACAAAAACTTTCATCAAAATCGGTCCAGTCGTTTAAGAGAAGTTCAGCGACATACACACTCACAGAAGAATTATATATATAAAGATGTACAATTAATTTACATTTGACAGTGAATAATAAAGTAAGTAATATTGTGAAATAAATGTAATAATTTTGCCTGTAATCAGTAACTGTGAAGTTGTTGAAATAGTGGTTCATCAATATTATTATGTCTATTTCTATTACACTGTAAATTAACACCACTTTACCACAATGTACTATAAATTAGAATAACATGTGATTGCTTTATTGGAAACGATAATTTTAAACTTTTATGGGACTAACGGCTGAACTGAGACATTCAATCGATTTAACATGACGTCTTTTTCTATTATTAACGCAAAGAAAGTGACAGCACTAATTAAAAGTAAGTTGAATTCTCTAAGTTTAGCAGTAATTTATAAAATATGTAATTTTATGCCTTTATAATTAATGTTTCCATTTTTGTAATGATTTAATTCTAAGTTAACTCAATATTCCTTACAATTTTTAACCCTATTGTTGGGCAACAACGTAGGTTATCCAATGCTATAACATTATTACAGATAATTTGATACATTGCAAACAATGGTGACTTTAGGAACTGTTGCGATTTTACAATCAGAGATATAGGGAAAAGACTAAGCAACATCCACGTGAAATTAACCATAATCTTTTAAGAGAGAAAGTTCTTTTGGCTATACTTTACTTCCTGGGCCCAAGAGGTGATACTTCACACTAGGTTAGGTTAGTGATGAAGCTCCAGAAAAAAAATCGTTATTAGACACCTTTTCAACAAAAAAATGACAAATATCACCTCTTTGACCCAGGAAGTACAGTTTTAATGTTCTTTGTTTCCCTCACACTTATTGAGAAGGCTTAGTCCATTCTATATGTCTCATTTATCACTATATTATTTATTGCCCGAAACAGACGGAAAGTCTACTTGTGGTCCCCGCTAGCGACGCGAGTGGAGTCTTCAGGGGCGGTATCGGTGGTTAAGGCTTGTTTATCTGCGGATATTTGCTCGGTACCGGCTGATATAGTTTCGTTAACGTTCGTTTTAGCGTCGTTCCCGGCGTCGAGTGCAGCGGCGAGCTCGTCGTTGTCGTCGTCCTTGCCGTAGAGGTCGGGGTAGTGAGACATGCACTCCTGCATCACACTGAACTTTTCATAGCAGTCGCTGCCTTTGGGGTCCGCCTCGCTGCAAACAAGCGAGATTATTAAATACCATTGGTTAAATGATAAAAAAGGTGCAGAACCTAATAATGTATCAGATAGTTTTTTTTCTCTTTCCATATGGTTTCGCATAGCTTGTGCATTTAGCCAATGTCAAGTGTTAAAATGTATACAAATACTATAGCATTCGTGATCAGAGTAATAAGTCAAGTCAATCCCCCTTTCCCTATGTTTCAGTAAAAGTGTGGGGATTTACTGGAACCTCCCCGTGGACTTCTTGAGGGAACGTTGAAAAACACTTTCCGCTATTTTGTATCACTTGGAAAAACTTGTGCATGTTCCCGAACACTGAGTGGTTAATAATCCACCGTTATTAGACACAAACATCCGCCACAACACATTTTTAACAAGAAAAACAAAACTGCTAAAGTGATGCTTCCCGATCCCGCCAAAAAGTCTATCAGATAGTTATGCTCTATAATTGTAGATTGTAGCAGATAAAAAAAAAGTGTCTGATACAATGATAAAGTTGCATGCATAAAAAAACATAAAACTTATGATGTTTATTTAATTTAATTTGATTACTTTTTTAAACAGAATAAGACAACACAAAATTCTCTTTGTATATATTAGTGTGATACAATGTTGCCTTTAGAACGGGCAAGTCGAGAGAATCATGAAAAGTGACAATCAAAAACATATCTTTAGCTCCTGTTTGTTTATATGAGCAATACAAACAACCAGTGAATATTTTTTGATGAAAAAAATTGACAACAACAATTTCAATGGTTACTTTAAAAAATCAGTAATAATATTTTCTTATAACTGTTATAGTTAACTATCGTTTCCAATGCACACTACTATGTCATTAAGAAATTCATGTAAGGAACTATACAACAATAAGTAATAAAAGAATCTAGACAATAACAAAGTTTTTAATTTTCACCATAAGGTGAAAATACCTTTTTAACTACCGCTTCTAAATTTCTATCAAGTTTAACGCATCAACAATAAAAAATAAAGTTTTATTCTCCAATCTGATAAATCAAACAAAACAAACACCAGCTGTAATTTGATCATTTAAATAATATCTTCCATTGATAAAATTCAATAAACTCCACTTTTAGCCTTCACCTTATCACTAATGAAATCGTTTTATACATGTTTGTTTTTCATATAAATAAGTCAACAATGAATTTCCGTTTACATATGTTTGTAAGAATTTGACTATTCTGCTAACCTGTAATGGAAGCATGAGAAAGCATCTCTGAACTGCACTCCGCACGGTCCGGTGGCCATGCCGCCCAGGCACGGGCAGCCCCAGTTGATGGATCCGTCCGGGCGGATGAGGCCGGGCGCGGGCTCGGGCTCCGGCAGCGTGACGCGGCTCGGAGCCACCAGCTCCTCGCGCGGCGCCACTATCACCAAATCCTTGCCCGCCGGCCCTGAAGACATCACCGACCGAGTTGCCATAATGTCTCACCTGAAATAGATTACATTTTGTATTTAGTGGATTGTCTCAAATACTTGTTTTAATAGCTCGGGTGCAAAGGCAAAGATCAACATTTATCGAGTCGGTCATAAACGTTTACTGAGCACCTTATAGCAGAGCTTGTAGCGAAGGAGCTTGCGCGAGTACAAGTATAGGTCCTCTTGCGAAGGCTAGCGCGGCTCTAAGTCTGCGTAAATCCCGAGTCGGCACTCGGTACAGCGCCCGCGAACGCTGGACTCGCAGTACGTCCGCCTGGATGGCGGCCGCGCCGCACTCCCCGAACAGACCCCGAGCTGCCTCTTCCACTACGCGCCGGGCTGCCAGCTCGCTCGTCGCCTCACCCCTGCATCGGGAAACGGTTCCTTGACTGCGTGATTACTGCACAACGACCGCAACACGAATGCAAACTCGATAAGTACTCACAAATCTACGTCCAGGTAAAAGTAATGACTCATCAGACTCCCGCGCTAGTGTCGACGATGGAGTGCTGCTCGATCGATCGACTTTTCTAATGTATTGAACTAGGAAAGGAGATTAATTTGTATTGTAAATAATATCGAATAGTTTAGAATTTGAGGTTAGATAAGTCGGCGAGTGAGAATACGACAGCTGTCATATGTCAGATTGACGTGAATCTTGACATTTTAATAAAATATCAAGCCAAGGTGTTTGGGTTCTGGCAGCCTACAGTTGAAAAAGTTTCATAATAATATTATGTAAAATATTGTTATTGCTTTTTGATTGAATTGAATGCGGCGTGGATATTATTACTTCATTGTATAATTTTCATACTAAAACGGTGTCTAATGATATGTTCTATTATGAATTTGGGCCCGAGTCTCTGAATCTAAAATGCCTACACTTCACATGGTTATTCACTCAGATCAGACTTATATGAATTTAATAGCTGTCTTTTCTTTACATTTCTTAATAGATAAGTTCAATTTTAGCTTTATAGTTTCAGTTGCCAAAATCTGGCGAAAGGTCTGCGCATAGACTCCGCCATGGACCAATCCTTTGTTCTTAAACAACGCGTTGAATTTAAATGTAAGCTATCAGGATTCGGGCATAGTATAATTTTAAAAACACCTATTAGTAGTGACACCATTCGTATTCGACATCTGGAGATAAAAGCACAACTACAGCGCTAACAGCACTAAAATCTAAAACACCAACCCGTATAGCATGCTGCTGATATGAGTTTGTCCTAATTTTAGATAGATGGCGTTCACAATTTTTGTTACAGATGCAGCGCTTTGAATGGTTAACTAAAGTAACTGTGTATAAAGCACCTTTTAAAAATACCTTCTCATTTAGCCGTTTTCATAACTGGCAAAAAAATATCAAAGTAAATAAAAAAGTTTGAGAAGTAAGTTGGATAGCAGCATATTTTCTACCGCTCATATTGAAGCGCCCGCCCGTTTAGCGATTAATACCGTAAAACGTTCAGTGAGTAATAATATAATATTTTGTAAATATTATAAGGTACATAGGTAATAAATTATTTAACGCTGTGAAGTTTTATTCGCCAGTTTTTCTCCACAGCTAAAAAAAGTCCTTAAACTTGTGGTAGGGAAAAAAATTCGACGATTCAAAAGAGTTGTAATGTGCATCCAATTAGAATAAAGATATTTTGACTTTTGACTTTTTGATTTTCTCTAGTAATTTGCTTGGAGTAAGTGCTTACTATGAGCAAATCAAAATGGTTTAAATTGACATTATTCATGCTGAAAACTACAAAAAAATATAAAAGTTGTGCATGCTACTAAATGGTCTGGTTCACTTATGAAAGATTGAGGGTGGACTGCGGCGGCGACGAGTCGAGGGTCATTACGAGATGAAAGCCAGCAGCGCTACGATGAACAAAGTAAGTGACCTATTTTTAACAGTCCTCCTTTTACAAAGGCTAGTTCTTGTATCTACCTACCTTTTGTGTACATTATAGTAATTAAGGTTTTTTTGAAAGTTTGTAGTTCCATTAAAAACAGGAAATCTTGTGGTTGTCCAATTTATTTAGGTTCCCTACTTTCACCCTAAGGTGAGTTTTCTCAAATACTTGATTGGTAGGTATCATTATGGGATCTCCTTCGAAAGTTCAAAACTAAAAATATTTTTAGTATGTTTTAGCGACAGATAAATTGTTTTTATTAAGGATGTAACTGTATTTACTGGGCCCAAGAGGTGATACTTCACAGTAACACTAAGTTGGTTTAGGTTAGTGTTGTGACCATAATGCTCGAGCCAAGCGAGCAAAGCGAGCATGCCGCGGCAGCGGCGGCGTAGCGCTAGAAAAAAAGGCCAAGTACGAGTCGGACTCGCCCATGAAGGGTTCCGTAGCAGCAAGTGACATAATATAAAAGTTCTTGTTAGGGTTAGAAAATAATGGTTCACGGTTTATGCATAAGGTTTATGTTTATGAAATTACATGTTATTTTTTAATTTTTAAATTTGAGTTGATTAAAGAAAAGGTAAATTGCGGTTTACGATTTATGACGAATTAAAAAAAAATGGTTGCCTGTAAAGTCGGTTTTACGGGCGAAGATTTTACGTGACAACGTCTTTTTCTCGGTAGAATATTTATTGATATGAATATAATTAAATTGCACAATAGGAACAAGGAATTGAATGAAAATAAGAATTGCACAAATTTTAACTATAGAAATATATTTTGTTTACTAAAACATTGTACATGTAAACTTAAACTTAACACGAGAGACTCATCGTAACGTTACCGAGCGTTACACTTTTTCATAAGTGACTCCCAGCCGCAACCTAATTTAAGACGTTGTCACGTCTAAAACTACTTACTTGATCTCGTTCAAACCAATTTTCAGTGGAAGTTTGCATGGTAATGTTCATCATATATATATATTTTTTTATCATTCTCTTATTTTAAACGTTACAGGGGGGGGGGGGGGGGGGTGGACGACGACACATTTTACCACTTTGGTAGTGTCTCTCGCTCAAACTATTCAGTACCGTTAGTACGAGTTTGAGGCTTGAGCTCACGAAAACTATCATAGTTATCGTAATTGTAAATTATGTTCCTATGTCCATTTTGGTGAAAAGTAACCAAATATTCTTAAAATTTAAGAAGATGCAAATGATTTAATGATAGAATTTAAACACTGTTTATTTGTATTGAAACGAAAACAATAAAATCAGTACCCTTAGTACGAGTGCGAGCTCACGAAAACTATTATAGTTTTCGTAATTGTAATTCTCGTACTAAGGGTACAGTTTAGAAAATGAAATAGAAACCTCCATTTTTGAAGGTCTATCCATAGATACCCCACACGTATGGGTTTGATGTTTTTTTTTTGATCTTCAGTTTCGGAAAAAAGGGGCTGTGACATACAGACGGATAAACAGACGGACATGACGAATCCATAAGGGTTCCGTTTCATGTCATTTGGCTACGGAACCCTAAAATGGGTGGCAAAAAAGCTTTTGCTTGTTTGCCACCCTTTTTACATAAATAACTAATGCTCCCAAAGGAGCGAAAACAACAAGCGCCAAAGCTTGTTGTTCAGACTATTACGAAGAAGTACTTAATGGATAAAACGCTGCACTAAAATTAAATTAAGTAGGTAAGTTGGATAATATCGTGTACGGAAGATAGCCATTACAAATTCGCTGCACGAATTCAGAGGATTACTTTTAATTACCCTGCAGACTGCAGTATTAACACGACTGCCAAAAAAATAGTGTAATGTATACAGGGTCCATGTATATATGTATGTTTGTAAAAATCTTTATTCCACCATAACTTCTAAGCGGCTGAACCGATTTAGATGTTTGTGGTATCGTCAGAATTCTTTCACCATATTGCGTAACATAGGAAAGTTGGAATAACAGCATTGTCAAAATGTTAATTAATTGTGTCAATAAAAAAAAGTTTTCTAAAAATTACAATATAGGTATCATTTGAAAGGTCTTAATGAGACTGTGGCAAGATGCATAGCACCTCCTTGCTGGTCGTTGATATTTTTTTTTTAACTTTTTATTAATCGTGTTATTTTTTTATAAAGTTTTTCAAGAAGCAGCAGATTGCTCATATTAGGAAATAACATTAAGCTTTTAATATTTCTACCCATAAAAAGTTGTTGTTGCCACTCGACTTTTATAATATTTTTACTGAAATCGAGTTTATAACTGCACAAGTTCCGCGGTACAAATAAACTGCTCCTCGCCCGAAGTCTGAGCTGAAGGATGGTAGTATTTTATTTTTATGACAATATTAAAACTCGTAATGTACGACATATTTTCGAGTTAAGTGCTTAAATGGAGAGATTTAGAGACGCCCGGGATGCGGTTGGAGCTCGTAACGGCTGTTTACGTGGCACAGACACTGTAATTACCTACTTATGAACGTAAACAAATATCGCTTCCGTTTGGGCATCTACATACTTATTTACAATAGTTTTTTAAACTGTTAAGCTACTATATTATCGTTGTTCTTAAGTCATAAATTTGCTATTTATTAAGAGAGGTAGGACATAGCAAATTTTGCCAGTCGAATTGGGGCGCCCGTCTGGGGAAAAAAATCTCCGCCTTACATAAGATCACAGCAAAATTACACTACCTTTTGGTGATATTGTGTTTCTATCGGTGAGTAAGATTAGGTCAGTCAGATATCGCAAAAATCAAGTGTCTATATTATAGGCCAACGGTTCCTAAGCAATCGTTTATCATCAGGGCGAATAGGCTTATTTACCACCCTTTTAACATAAAAAAATGCTAATAATCCGTCCATTTCACATTCTGATATCTATTCTATTAAAATACTTAACATGATTTATTTTTCTGTTTGAGCAGCAGCGCCTAATGATGTTATTATAGTAAAGACGTTGTAAATAAAGACATACATACGAGTAGTGCAAGGCAATTCATTCATGTTCTCCAAAACCAATTGTTTTAGAAATTGTCATTATTTCATTATGTTCTTTCTTTCTTTTTACTTCTTGGTAATGTTAATGGTAAGTCATAATAATCTCAAACAGCTTACATACTACGCAGCTCGCATTATATGGTGATTTTGCTTTGTTCCCAAAAGGGCACATGGATAAATAAATACGTACATGAAAGATATTACGAAACGAACATACAAAAGGCAGTAATGGTACTTCATGGCATACAAAATAGAATAAAACACTGCCTGATGAGACTTCTCATACCGTTTCAATTTCTATAAAGGATCTCCATAGTTCAGAAGAGAGGCAGATAAGGACCAATATTGTTTGCAAGTAGAACATGTGACGCTGGCTGTTGCAATTGCCAGTATCTTGTGCATTATTCATTCTCTTCGACGCTCGCTGCCTCCATTGAATCCCGTTGATTGTGACGTTATGAGGATACGTCCCCCCCCCCCCAACCCCACTCACTCGGCCGGTTGTCATCCTCACCACCGTAAGAAATCGGAAAGCGAATCAATGAAGGCGTTGCGGCGAACGACCGGCAGGTAATCGATTTACATTCTTTATCATATTTAAAGCGGTCATTGAAAGGTATTTGAATAGTTATGAGAACATTGAGGCTTGCTTATTCATTGCCCGCGACTTCGCTATTTTTGGTTTTTATTGACACCGACGATGTGGCTTCATTTCCAGATTCGATCACTCAGGACCATTTTGACA